CATGGGTCAAAGCATGGGGGAAAAAATAGATTAGCCCTTGTGGGAGATACACATCGCCACCACTCAACTTTATGGCCTGGCCCGAAGTCACATGTCGACCAAGTCCCTGAGCAGGCAACCTCTCCCCGGTGACAACTCTGAGAGCCGTCAAAGTAAGCTCTTATCTTCAGTGGAGAGTCAGCCATCTTGACCACGTAGGCGTTTCAGACACAAAGCTCCTCTCAAACGCTCAACATCCTACACAAACACGTGCGGGTCTTTTCTTGTCCATGGCTGTTCCTCTGTTTGCCAAACTTATATTCTGTACCCACCTCTGCCCCAGATGTGGAACACGTGAACAAGTGGAATTTCCTTGAACATGGTTCTCGTGTGGTGGTGCATCCGGCCCCAGCTGTGGCTTCTTCATCTGGGTGACCTCAGCCTCTGCCTCCGCCTCACCTCTGGGACTGCCCTGGCATCTCCCTCAGCCCTCCGTTTCACAAATGAACTCGCTCTTCAATACAGACTACTGTTTTCACTACTTCTAAAAACTTGTGCCACCCACCTCGGAAAGTAGAGCTCTAAGAAGCACAGATAAGAAGCAGAGAGCTTAGCTCTGGAGAATAAGTGTCTGCACAGAGAGGCTGTTTTTTGAGTTCTTTGAGGTAACAAAAAAAGAGGGAGCCCTTGCACTTTGAAACTGTCCTGGCCCCTCAGAAATCTCCCTAAAAAGACAACAACAACAAAAAAAGTCAGTGGCAAGGAGAAGTATAACCTTCCCCCAGAGAGGGACAGCTAATACTTGGGAATAATAATCAAGCTAGGAATTGACAAACTTTTCTGATACAGAGTCAGAGAGTAACTGTTTTAAGCTTTGCAGACCCCACAGTTTCAGTCCCAAGCATTCACCTCCACTCCTATAGCAAGAAAGCAGCCATAGACAATATGTCAATGAATGAGCATGGCTCGGTTCCAATAAAACTTTATTTACAAAAACGGCCAGTGGCTACATTAGGCTCAACCAAAGTTGGTCAACCCCTGACCTAAACAACCACATTTGCTGGTCCTAACTTGAGAGGAAATGGAAAACTCTATTCGTTTTGTAGCAAAGTAAGAACTTGACTGGATGGTTTTTAAATTTTCCCACAAAGAAACTACAGTTTGCAGACGATTTCCCAGGGGATCCCCTAAACTTTCATGGCAACAGTTCAACATACAAAGGATGAAATGACAAAATCCATGAGTTCAGATTATGGCGGGGCACAGAAGCCTTGGAAGCACAGACATCAAAGAGCGAGCAGGACCCAGTGTGCCCACCAGCTGAAAAGCAGAATGTACACCTGCTACCAGAAGATGAAGATTACTTCCCAGGCTCTGCCCGGTCTTCCTGCCTCCTGATCAACTCATTTTCCTCTTGGTCACTCTGGGCCGTCATGTTAGTTTCACTTCCTCCCCACTCCAAAGACTATCACCGCTGCACCCCCACTTTAAACAGAAAACTGCTGATGGACCTCATCTTCAGAGAAGAAGGCAATTGTGGCATTCATATTGACCCAGACGAAGAGATGCAACCTGGCTTTGTGACTTTCCTGCTCATGACCTTGAGAATCTCACACTCTTCATTCTCCAGTTATTTCCTTGGTACAACAGGGATTCAAATTATTTCCCTAATTCATTGGGAGGCGATTAGGATCTAGTCATTCACCATGAGAGAACATGCTCGTAAAGGACCATACCAGTAGACACACCGGTCATCACAGAATAAACAGAACACCTTTAGAGATGGCCGGGGAGGGGTAATCTGGTCTGTCTGCTAGGGCAGGCTGAGGTCTAAATCATTTTTTTAACTTGAATAATGCAGTGAACCTGCTTTTTTATTTATTTATTCAAGAGTGAGAGCTCGCATGAGAGAGAGCATGACTGGGGAGGCCACGGGTAGAGGGAGAAGTAGAAGCAGGCTCCCCACTGAGCAGGGAGCCCAATGTGAGGCTCGATCACAGGACCCCAAGATCATGACCTGAGCTGAAGGCAGAGGCTTAACCCACTGAGCCACCCAGGTGGTTAGACCACAAGCACTGACTTCAGTGACTCTTACTATAATGTGTTTGATACATGAAGAAACATAAAACTAGGTTTTGATTTCTAATCCTTTTTTATTTTTTTTTTAATTTGTCAGAGAGAGAGAGAGAGAGAGAAAGCACAGGCAGGCAGAGTGGCAGGCAGAGGCAAATGGAGAAGCAGGCTCCCCGCCGAGCAAGGAGCCCAATGTGGGACTCGATCCCAGGATGCCGGGATCATGACCTGAGCCAAAAGCAGCCGCCCAACCAACTGAGCCACACAGGCATCCCTCTTATCGTTCTTATGTAATGTATAGTGAGAGCATCTTTTAAAGAAGCCCATGTCTAATGGCATCGAGGTGCGGTGAGCCGCGTGGAGTGAAGGCCTAAGGAAGAGAGTGGAAGGGGGGGGACCCACCTTTTGAAAAAGATCCTCCAACTTTGTCCTGCCTTTTCTTTCTCGCATGGAGAGTATAACTAGCTGTATTCAGATCAACACGACAATGGTGGGCTACTTGGTGCCCTTCCCCCCAAATCCATATCTCAAAGTCCTAACCCCCAGGACCATGAGAGAGAATGGGGCTGTATTTGGAAACGGGGCCTTTAAAGAGGGGATTAAGATAAAATGAGGCCATTAGTGTGGGCTCTAACCCAGTGTCACTGGGGACTTTATAGAAGAGCAGCACAGAGAGGGGGAGAGTGAGGAGTTGGAGGGATGACCTCGTGAGGACAGAAGGCAGCCAATCTGCAAGCCAATGAGAGAAGCTGCCAGAGAAACCAAACCTGCCAACACCTTGATCTTGGACTTCCAGCCTCCAGAGCTGTGGAAAGACACTCCTGCTATTTAAGCCCTCAGTCCGGGGTATTCCATTATAGTAGCCTGAGCCGACATATACGATGACATAAAGTTCATGATTTCTCTCAAAAGCCTTGCTTCTTGAGAAGAATACTGTGAGGCAGAAGCTGTTGTTGTAAATAGGCACAATTTGCATATGTGACTATGACTAACCTCCCATGGACACAGGGTGGGGGTTGGGGGTTGCTGGCAGCAGGGGTGGGGGACATTTTGCTTATTTCTATCCAGTGATGACTGTCTAATGGCTACCAGGCCTTGGTGCCCGTGCAGGGCCAAACAGATGGCATTTAAGAAGTTTCTGGCTGGTGTGGGCCAGGCCCACAGCCTGTAATCATATGACCCAATACTCCACAGCTATTCAAACGGGCCAAGCATGGCCACCAGGCACAACAGGGCTGATCTCACAAACAGAATGAGAGAAAACGCAAGTCACAGAAGAGGACGTGTGGAATTCATACAGAATTCACAAACGGGTGACTCAACTCTGCCATCCTGGGACAGATACTTACTTAGGTCATAAAACCAAAAAGAAAAGCAAGAAAATGACTTTCACAAAAGTGAGATGAGTGATGATCTGGACTAGGGAAGGGAGGTGGAGTTGTCAGGGGGCAGGGGACACAGAGCACGTGCAAGGCCCCATTTCTTGGCCTGCGTGGGGCTCTCACGCAGCACTCTCAAAACCGCTCTCAAAAAGTGGTTTGCTTTATAACTGGTCATTAAAATGTACAGATTTTTAAAACTTTTTGTTTTTATGTAAATGACATTACCAAAAAAAACAAAAAATAAAAACCAGAAGGAAAGCTGAAGCAAATAGGACTAAACATTAATTGTTCTCAATCCAGCCCTGGCAGGTCTATGTTACATCATTAATTATACTTCTCTATAATTTGGGTTTGGGTGGGGTTTTTTCCCTCATATTATCATGCTGAGTGAAAGAAGCCAGGCAAAAAAGAGCACATACATTATATACATTTGCATGATGTTTAAGAAAATGCAAAGTCATCGTTAGTGACAGAAAGCAGCCCAGGGACTGCTGGTGGGGAGGAGGTGGCAGGGCGGGGGCATGAGGGGAGGAAATGAGGAAAGTTTTGGGGGGTGATGGATATGTGATGCTGATTGTGGCAATGATTTCATGGGTAGATACTTGTGTCAAAATGTATCAAATTATACCCTTTAAATATGGACAGTTTAGTCTACGTCAATTACACACCAAGAAAGCAGTTTTCAAAATATTCTTTCTTGTGCCTTTTCATATGTTTCACATAGTCTTCAATATACATATATTGTTTTGGAATGAGGGAGACTGGAATAAAGAACTGGGGTGCCAGTTCCCAGACCACTGTATGTACCTTTGGGTCACTCACCGGCGTGGATACTGTCAATGTATTTTTGTCCTGCCTTGGACGTTAAAAAGCCCTCTCTGCTCTTCCCTCTTCCCTCTTCCATCCCCTCTTTCTCTGTCCCCACTGCCTCTCTCCTTTCCCCTTGGCTCCTTTTCTCTTTGGCTCTCACTCTTGCTATCTCAGAAAACCCCTTTCTTGGGGCACCTGGGTGGCTCAGTGGGTTGAGCCCTGGCTCTTGGTTTTGGCTCAGGTTCTGATCTCAGGATCCTAGAATCAAGCCCCACGTCAGGCTCTGACCTGAGCATGGAGTCTGCTTGGGATTTTCTCTTTCTTCCTCTCCCTCTGCCCCTCCCCCTCTCACTCTCATAAATAAATAAATAAACAAACAAACAAACAAAATCTTAAAAAAAAAAACAAAAAAACCCTTTCTTCAGCTGAGCCCGCAGCTTTAGGAGACATATCGACACTCAGACAATCCTTGGGCAGCACAACAGGAAACCAAAAGCAACCATAACCTCTTCTGTTCTAAGCACGATGGTCAGTTTCAAATCCTGGTTGGGAGGCTGGGGATAAAGAAATAAATAAATCTCTCCCCTGGCCCTTCCACTTTGAGAGACTTTAACGGAGACAGTAGATGAAAGTGCCAACCATTGCTAGTACTCCATTCCCTCCCTTCAGCAGTGTGATGGCCTCTTAGTTTTAAGGCAATGAGTCATTGGCTATGCAAAGGGAGGCCCAGAACAGAGTCAGGGGTTGTGGCAGCCATTGCTGGTTTGCCTACCCAAAGTTTATTCCTCTCTTCTTACTTACACAGGGCCCTGATTTTGTTGAAGGTAGCAATGTGCCAGGCTGAAAAGTTAGATTTCCCAGCCTCCCTTCCAGATAAGAGTGGTCATATGACTACCTTCTGGTCAATGGTATAAAGGAAGAAACTAGATAAGATTTCTGGAAATTCTTCCTAAAAATGGGGTTATATGGGCAGGTTCTTTGTTGGTCTTCCATCTTTTTCTGCCTGAAACATGGTTGTAATGACTGGTGTGGCAGCAGCCATTTTGTAGTCCTGAGGTGATCTTGATTGAAGAGCGTTGGCTAGTGCTAAGGATAGCAAAACAGAAAGACAAGAGGTAAGGACATTGATGAGATTATGGCACCAGCTCTAGGATGCCTATCTCCGAAGTCCTTTCACAAAGGAGAAAAACTTAAATCATATTTAAGACATTGTTTTACAGGTCATTGTTGAAGCAAAACATAATTCCTCAATGATAGAGAATAGATGAGCTAAGTAATTTTGTGTTTTGAAGTGAGAGACAGGTAACTTCTGGGGTGAACCTTAAAGAAGGGTGTTCTAACAAGGGAAAACAAGCAACACAATGATGCAAAACTCTCGTTTTCTTGAGTCTTCTAGAAAGTCTGCAACGCATGTGTAGATGCTTTTTGTGCCCATGAGGGGAAATCCAGAAAAGGGGGTTGTGGTTCCTCATCAATGGGCCCAAAGCAGGGGCAACACCTGGGTGATAGCAAGTTGATCCACCAGCTGGGTTAATTCAACATAAAGAAAATCTCCAGCTAGAGGATGAAGAACCTTTATCATCACTAAAGAAGCTCATCTCACTATACCTGGGGTGAGTTCTAAACCAGTACCATTTGGTTTAGATACAACAGATACCGCAGTTAGGAGGAGGGTTGGGGAGGTGGGGGAAATAACTCCATTTTATATATGAGGGAACTGAGGACCAGAGAGGTAGAGTGACAGATGGCTTGAAGGCCCGCTGTTCTAATTCAGGACTTGTCTGTTTTTTATTCCCCCACAGCTAAAGCTGGGATTCAAGAAAGGGAGGCAAGGCAACAGCCATGGAAGCACCAGTTGGACCCCAAAAATCCTGGTGGTCAATGCTGACAAACATTGCAGTCAGATGCCCTTATTGTAAACATAGTTATATGTGCGTGTATCCTCCCCCTGGTGCGGGTGTGCACATGAAAGCCAGACACATACAAGTGTAGTAAGGGATTCCTGCTATGGTAGAAAGAGCACTACGTTTGAATGTGTAAAATCTAGGCTAGAATCCCAGCCCTGTGCTCACTACCAGGATGATGGTGGGCAAATCCTTTAACGTCTCTGGGCCTCAATGTTTTCATCTGTAACAGGAAGGATTGGCCAAATTAAGTTCTAAGAGCCAATCCAAACCTTCTAGAAGCCTATATAAAATACGTCATTAAAATATGATTACATCAATTGAGCATGAAATGAGAATAAATTTAGCTTTATGTAAACACAGAAATGTGACTCCGCTGCTGTACAAATCATAAGTCTTGGGAGAACAGTATGGATCTACAATGAGTAGATTAATGGAGCCATGAATGAGTTGTTCCTTCCTATACTGTGCTATCCTTGAGTCACTCCCTTGCTGTGTTGGTGCGTGCAACAGCACATTTCTAATTCCTCACTCCTAGGTATATAGGTACATTTACATTAGAAAATCTGCCTTAAACGGTGAAAATCATTTCCTTTAAATAAAAATTAAATAGACACAATGGGGATTTAAAATACATTCTGGTACTGTCGCAATAGCACAAGAGCGTGTGACACGAAGCTGGTAATGTTGGATGTGGAAGGATTTTATTAGACAAATCGGGTAGCTTATATTAAACACCCCAGTGACTTCTCTTCATAAATGCAGCCAAGCGGCCCCAGAGTAATAGGGACGGGGCCCCTCGTGAGCTCTACACTCTTTACTCTGACATTTAATGAGCATGAATAACCAGGAATAGATGGTATCATTTATGAGTGCTCGTGAACCCAGTAAAAGGGTGATTTCAAAGATTCTTTGGGGATCTTTAAGGCCTTGTCTATAAAATGTGCCTGGATTAGCTGGGCTCCTCCTCAGCCCCAGCCTCATCTTCAGCTGACCTAGAGTCCCACGAACCAGGGAAGGGGGGAGTCAGGAGTCTGGAGCCCTCACCTAAGACTACATTATGGAATTATCTGCCTGATTATCCTCCAATCATTCAGTCCTCCAGCAGCAGTTGAATAGGGAAAGGCATCCTGTTCCTGCAGTTGGAAAGTTTAAGCTCATCAGACCTGTAAATGGAGCTCCTACTTGGCATCTACAGAATGGCCCAAAGAAGGCATGGATTCCCAAAGAACAGTGAGCTCCCCATCACAGGAGGCATCCAAGCAGAGACCGAACAGATGACTTCAGATTCAAACTGGAGATTGGAATTGGAATTTTCTTTTCAGTACTAAAAGATGGGGATTCTACAACCTCCAGGACCAAAGGTTACTCATTGTGAATACTCATTGTGACTACTTATCGTTGAAGGCTTCTTAGGAGCCAGGCACTGTGCTGAATGCCTGAGTTGAATTCTTTCATTTGCCCTCACACAATGGAAACACAGGTCTTTATCCCTTTCACACGATAGGATTTCTGAATATCTGCAGACGAGGGAACCGAGGCTCTGGGTAGCGGAGCACAGAGATCGCACAGCTCCTAGGGGCCAGGCTGGGTCGGGTCTCAGACCCTGGCCGGGCAGAAGGGGCAGCAACTGAATCATACAGGAAGCTCGCGGCAGCCCCACCTGGAATCATCCCTCCTCCCCCTAGCAACTGTTTTTCGAGGTTTGCCCCACAAAGACAGAAGACATTGAGGGCTGGCAAAAACAGAGTTTGAGGGCTGGGTATGTCTCTTCAAGGTCAAGGTCGTGTACTGAGACCATGAGGGAACAGTGGGAGCGTGGGGCACGGGGGCTTTGTGTCCTGAGAGCGACACTCCAGGGAAGGGAAATTCTAGCCCACAGTGTTTCTGTTCCCTTGAGCTACAGCCTTAGTTCCTCTGAGAGACCCCGACTGGGCAGGATGTTCGAGGCCAGAGCTAGCCCCTGCTGCTGTTCCTCACAGTCCCCACAGCCTGCCTGACAGAGAGCCCTCATTTCTCAAGGCTGGACTGCCTCTTCTGGAGCCTTCGCTCCATGCGCTCACAGCCTGAGCCTTTGAGGAGCCTGGGGCTCTCTGGCTCCTCTGAGATCCTGAGATTAGAGTCAGTAGAAAGTGGAAGAAAAATCTATGAGACTTCGCCTTCTCTGTCTCTCTCTCTCTCAAAAGGCAGCCCCCAGCAGTGTTTGTTCTCAGAGAGGCCCCTAGAAGAAGGACGGTCACTTCCCTTTCTCTGGGAGATAATTGAAGAGAAGTAGGAAAGTACCTGTGTTTGAAGGCGAAATGATGACAATTAATCTCTAAGCAGAGGGCCTCACCGTTAAATTCTTTGGAGAAACAATTCTGGGAGTTTAATGACAATCAAGAGAGTGAAATTGAATTAAGAGAAGTAGTAATTAAATCAGGAAAGAAGTTTTTGCAAAGGGGATGGTAAAGGAAATTAAAACCAGTAATGCTGAAAAATGTGGTGGGCAGAGCAGGGGGGCGGGGAGCTTGGTGGAGAAGAGGAAGGAGCAGACATAGCCCAGCGGGTTGGGAGGGCTAGTGCCTGGCACCAGGAAAAGGAATTTGGAACCTGTTCTCCTTGAGAGGCCAGGTATGTGACTCTTCCAATTCGGGGCTAACTATGCCCACCTCCTAAAAGGGACAAGATCTCCTGTAGGACAATAGAAGTCTCCAGTCAGATAGAGTAGAAAATAGCGGTAGATTTGAAGTAAGGTGACCTACAGTCCAGGTTTGCCCCAGACCCAGAATTATTTTTTAATAACTTTCCTGGGATTATTGTTTCTTTGCACACGAGAGCCCAGGAGTCTGAGCTGTGTGGACCAGAAGAGAGCAAGGGGAGGACAGAAGGGAAGAAGGGTGGAGAGGAAGAAGAGAAAGAAGTAAAGGAGAAGGGGGAGAAAGGGAAGGAAGGAGGAAAAGAGAAGGAGCAGTGAAATGGGTCGGGCTCTCAAGCCTGTAGCAGGGTCAGAGCTTGGTGAGAATACCTCACCGCTCACCTAAATTTAATTTGATTGATGACAAAGGTCACCAACAGGCAGAGCAAAGGATGCCCGGGGCATTAACGCCAATGTTTCCCAGCTCCCTGGTGTGTGTCACAGAGGTGTAACCCCCCCACACCAGATCCCACAGCTCTCCCTCAGGGAGGCTCCCTGCCAGTGACACCTCAGGGATGGACCAGGGGGTTGCCACACCAGTATCTGATGGCCCACCCAGCCAGGATCATCACACGAGTGCCCCTTTCATTCTGTCCTGCCTCCTGGAGCCGACGGCAGGTTCCAGCTCAAGGAGCCTGTTGCAGTAGGTCCCAGACCTAGAGTTACAAGCTGGGCAGTTGGACCTTCTGTTTCCTATTGTGTAAAATAGGGCAAATAGTCAATTCATTCACTTGTTGATTCAATAAGAAACCTCCATCTCCGAAATTATTGAAAACAAGTACTTGTTGGGTACCTAGGTGGCTCAGTCAGTTAAGCATCTGCCTTCAGCTTGGGTCATGATCCCAGGGTCCTGGGATTGAACACTGGGCTCCCTGGTCTGCGGGGAGTCTGCTTCTCTGTCTTCCTCTGCCCTGATCTCTCTCTCTCTCACGTGCTCTCTCTCTCAAATAAATAAAATCTTAAAAAAAAAAAAGAAAAGAAAAGAAGAAAAGAAGCACTTGTTAACCATTAGCTAATTAACAAGGCACTCGTGCATCTTTTCTCTCACTTATCCTTTTTGGTGGGAATCCTCATACCACGGGCAGTGACACAAAAGACAAACGAGAGGAGAACAGAGGAAGAAAGGGGATCAACCACGATCTCCCAACTAGTAAACTGCAGGCCCGGCGCGTGAACCCAGGTCAGTACAGCTCCACGTCTGGAAGATGGGGCAGTAAGCACACTAACTTTGGATGTCCAAGTAGCGGCCCCAGAGTCCAACAGACTTGGTCCTGGCCTGAGCCCTCCTCCTGCAGCATTTGAAGTGAGGGGTGACATAGCGCTTTGCAGGACTCAAGAGCAGGACACTGCACAGAAAAACTCCATATAGCGTACGCAATTTTCTGTTGAATAAAGCCAGCTTTGTAGACATTTTCCTCCATTTTAACTTGATGCCAACACTTGTAACATTTCAGAATGTCTTTTTCAATTCTTTCTATGACATCAGCCCCTGGAAAAAATACTGGAGTCTAGACCAAGCCAGGTGTGGAAACAAAAGCTCTGGCAGGATCCCCCTCTCCCAGGAACAGAGCTCACACCCAGTTTTACTGGAATGTGTTCAGGCTACTAGTGGACTCAGGGGCCCTCGTCTTTCCATCCCTCACTAGCCTCAGGGACTCTTGGGCCCTTTCCCCAATGATTTAAAAGGCTCCACCCACACTGCAGTTATAATTCATCTTCGCAGTTCTAATCTCTCAGCACTTCTGCTTAGCAGGTGCTGGCTCGTAGCTACTCGGAAGGGGCTAGAATGAGAGCCCACGGTGAAAGGGGTTTGAGAATTCTCTGGGCCAAGGTAGACAATGCAAGTAAAGATTTAATTTGTTAGGGGGCGCCTGGGTGGCTCAGTGGGTTAAAGCCTCTGCCTTTGGCTCAGGTCATGATCCCAGGGTCCTGGGATCGAGCCCTGCATTGGGCTCTCTGCTCAGCAGGGAGCCTGCTTCCTCCTCTCTGTCTGCCTGCCTCTCTGCCTACTTGTGATCTCTGTCTGTCAAATGAATAAATAAACAAAATCTTTTTTAAAAAAAAAGATTTGATTTGTTAGGCTTTCAGAATTGTTATGAGTGGCTTATGGTCGCCTAGGACTCAAGAAGTAACCCTCTAGAAATCTCTAAAAGAAAGGAAGACAGGGCGCCTGGGTGGCTCAGTGGTTAAAGCCTCTGCCTTTGGATCAGGTCATGATCCCAGCGTCCTGGGATCGAGTCCCGCATCGGGCTCTCTGCTCAGCAGGGAGCCTGCCTCCTCCTCTCTCTCTCTGCCTGCCTCTCTGCCTACTTGTGACCTGTGAAATAAACAAATAAAAATCTTTAAAAAAAAAAAAAAGGAAGGAAGACAAAAGGTGGTATGTACATATAATGGAACATCATTGAGCCTTCAAAAGACTGACCTCACGGGCTGAGGAAGGGACTCCGACACACACTACAACTTGGATGAATCCTGAGGACATGATGCTAAATGGGATAAGCCAGTGACGAAAGGGCAAAATCATTCTACTCATACGAGGCACTGAGAGTCAAAGTCAGAGACGGAAATTCGAAGGGTGGTTTGTTTGCCAGAGGCTAAGGGGAGAGGTGCGGGAGAGGGGAGTTGTTATTTGGCGGATTTCAAGTTTAGGTTTTGCAAGATGAGAGAGTTCTGGAGATGGCGAGTGGTGACGGCTTCACAACACGCCACGTGCTCAGTACCCTTGACCTGCGCGCTTAAGGATGGCGAATATGGCGCATTTTGTGCTATGTGTATTTTAGCCCAGTTTTTCAAACTGAGAAAGAAAAGAGAAAGGAACAGCTTGAACACTGAGATTCTCAGCTACGGGATTAGCATTGTACCATCAGAGCCAAAAGCAGCTACGTAACATAATAGATGTTGTACAATTTTATATCCAACCACCAATTTTCTTTCTGCTGAATGAAGCATCTCCCTGCTCACCACTGAAAACTAGCATTTCCCTATAAATTGCCAGCTCCCAAAGCCCCATGACTTTTGCTTGTCAGTCCACTGGAGACCACTATGAGGCACACGGGGCTAACAGGCAGCATCTTGCAGGGAAGAGAACATACCCCCAAGAGCAAACAGCTCCTCCAAGGGGCTTCGGCATCTCCCCCAGAGAAAAAGACACCCCTCTAGACAGAGGAAGAGATTTCGTTTGCAAATTAAATACCTAACTTTTAGCTGTTACTGGAACCATCAACCTGAGTATCAGGAAAAAAAAAAAAAAAATCCCATTAAATCTTTAATTTCTTCCAAGGGAAACTGACTCTTTCCCCTGAATTTCAAAACGAAGACAGCTGCTGCCTTTTCGTGCGATGAGCAGTGCCCAGGATCCAAGGGAGCCAGTTTTTCATTTTCCCCCAATAATCTCCCATTTATTTGGATTTACAAGTGCATGCTCGCCCATATACTGCCTTAGGAAATCTGTTTAAAAGACACATACTTATCATTTAAACCTGGCCGC